TTGATAACCGTCGAAAACTTTTGACCCGTTACTTGATCTCTGAATGTTTGTTTTTTGAAATTTTTGGCGTATGCGATCTCAAAGTATATACAAACATGTTTGATGGTTGGATCGTCGAAACTAGTTTCGTAGAATGCGTATCCTATCAAAACAATAGATTCACTAACACTTAGAGTTTATTTATACTTTCATTAAATATAACATAAGATTTTGTGGTATCCACTTGTGTAAATATTTTAAATTGAAGATCAAATTCATTTATTGTATTCATATAGGGTCAAGGAGTGTAGTTGTAAAAAATCATCAAAATCGAAGTTAAAATAACCGTTAAATCGTGATTTTTCGTTGATAACCGTCGAAAAGTTTTGTCCCGTTACTTGATCTCTGGATGTTTGTTTTTTGAAATTTTTGACGTATGCGATCTCGAAGCATATACAAACATGTTTGATGGTTAGATCGTTGAAACTAGTTTCATAGAATGCGTATCCTATCAAAACAATAGATTCACTAACACTTAGAGTTTATTTATACTTTCATTAAGTATAACATAAGATTTTGTGGTATCCACTAGTGTAAATATTTTAAATTGAAGATCGAGTTCATTCATGATATTCATATATGGTCAAGGAGTGTAGCTGTAAAAAATCATCAAAATCGGAGTTAAAATAACCATTAAATCATGATTCTTCGTTTATAACCGTCGAAAAGTTTTGTGCTGTTACTTGATCTCTTAATGTTTGTTTTTTGCGATTTTTTGCTGATGTGATCTCGAGGCATATACAAACAAGGTCAATGGTTAGGATCGTTGAAATTAGTTTCGGAGAATTTGTATCCCATCAAAACGATAGATTGACTAACACTTAGAGTTTATTTATACTTTCATTAAGTATAATATAAGATTTTGTGGTATCCACTTGTGTAAATATTTTAAATTGAAGATCGAATTCATTCATTGTATTCATATAGGGTCAATGAGTGTAGTTGTAAAAAATCATCAAAATTGGAGTTAAAATAACCATTAAATCGTGATTTTTCATTTATAACCGTCGAAAAGCTTTGTCCCGTTACTTGATCTCTGAATGCTTATTTTTTGTGATTTTTTGCTGATGTGATCTCGAAGCATATACAAACAAGTTTGACGGTTGGGATCGTTGAAATTAGTTTTAGATAATTTGTATCCCATCAAAACGATAGATTGACTAACACTTAGAGTTTATTTATATTCATTAAGTATAATATAAGATTTTGTGGTATCCACTTGTGTAAATATTTTAAATTGAAGATCGAATTCATTCATTGTATTCATATAGGGTCAAGGAGTGTATTTGTAAAAAATCATCAAAATCGGAGTTAAAATAACCGTTAAATCGTGATTTTTCATTTATAACCGTCGAAAAGCTTTGTCCCGTTACTTGATCTCTGAATGTTTGTTTTTTGCGATTTTTTGCTGATGTGATCTCGAAGCATATACAAACAAGTTTGATGGTTGGGATCGTTGAAATTAGTTTCAGATAATTCGTATCCCATCAAAACGATAGATTGACTAACCCTTAGAGTTTATTTATACTTTCATTAAGTATGACATAAGATTTTGTGGTATTCACTTGTGTAAATATTTTAAATTGAAGATCGAATTCATTCATTGTATTCATATAGGGTCAAGGAGTGTAGCTGTAAAAAATCATCAAAATCGGAGTTAAAATAACCGTTAAATCGTGATTTTTCGTTTATAACCGTCGAAAAGCTTTGTCCCGTTACTTGATCTCTAAACGTTTGTTTTTTGTGATTTTTTGCTGATGTGATCTCAAAGCATATACAAACAAGTTTGACGGTTGGGATCGTTGAAATTAGTTTCGGAGAATTCGTATCCCATCAAGTTCAATGGTGTGTGTATATATCTATATATATTTATTAAGTAGATTTAAATCTATTTATTTTGTACGTATAATTGATTGGTACACAGAGTAGTACATCACGTGAGTCATTATAAAAATAGTGAGATATGTTATATGTGTAATAAAAAGTTAATAACTTAAAAAAAAAAAAAAAAAAAAAAAAAATTCTCACCACTTTTATTAATTTTCATTTTTCCCTCTCTTTTTTGTTTCATTTTCAACTTTTCTTATAATTTTCACTTTTCCCTCCGACAACCTATGGTGCCTACCCATCTTTCGCTAATTCCCTCTCTTTTTTGTTTACTTTTCAACTTTTCTTATCATTTTCATTTTCCCTCCATCTTTCTTCAAAAAGGGCCGCACTGCAGGGAATGGAATGGAATTATCAATTATGGAATCAAATCAATGGATGCATATTAATTAATAATTATTATAGTTTTTATAAAATTTAATTCAAAATTTAATATATATATATATATAATATTATTATAGATAGTTAATATTTTGGGGGTATAATTATTATAGTTAATTTAATATATATATATATATATATATATTTATTATAGTTTTTAGGGGTATACAATTGTTAAATTAATATATATAATTATTACAGTATTTTTTTAGGGTTATAAAATTATAAAAATAATATTCTGCTTATTGTGTATCGTATTACCCACGTGTATACCCGAATCAACCCGTTATCTTAACAGGTGCTTATCGGGTTACCCGATAACGACCCGATTCATTATCGTGTCGACCCGAACACCTGTTAATTTCGTGTCGTGTCGTGTCGGGTTATCGGGTTGTGTCAGGAATTGTCAGGCCTAACTGAATCAAGTTTTCTTGGTCTTGCCGGCTATTATCGACGCTTTGTGAAAGATTTCTTAGCCATAGTGCCACCTACATTTTTTGCTACGTCACCTTCGGGTGTCGGTCAACATGCCTCGACGCTGGTCGGGGCACGTCAGTTTGGTATCAGAGCATAGGTTTTGGCAATCCTACATCAGTTACATATGTGATATAAGCCATAATAATTTTTAGTCTCTTATGTCAGAGTCATGCCACCTTGTAGAGTGCCACCTACATTTTTGGCTACGTCACCTTTGGGTGTCAGCCAACATGCTTTAACTCCGGTCAGGATGTGTCTACCTGTAATGGCTTTGTGATAAGTAGGTGGCGGCTGTCATGGATTTGGGGAGTAGGGAGAAGAATGTGAGTTGTCATGGGTTCGGGAAGAAAGGGAGGGGTTAGAGTTGCCAAGGCTTTGAGAGAGAAGATGCATATTTGTATACTAGTAAACAGAAGCGTGTCAATGAGGTGTTTTCTTAGCTATATAGGATGAGTTTGTGGGAGACTTTTATTTGACAAGTGTTTTAATTTGGGTTTTATCACAAATGATCCTTAAAATTGACTACGTCATCAAGATGGTCCCTGAATTTGAAGATCGATCAATGTAGTTCCTAATCAATGTGGTCCTTCCATTATAATTTTGTCCAAAATTATGTTATATGCTCATGACACATAACTCAGTCCCACAAGTATAATTAAATACTACCATTTGGATTAAAACTTTTAAATAATGAAAAAACATATTTTATTTTTGTATACTTAGAAACTTAAAAAATAAAAAAGGAAAAAACAAATGCTAGGGAGACCAAATTTCTTAAACCAAATGATGTATCACCAATAGAAAATAAGCACATTAATCAACACTTAAGTGGTAATCCAATCAAAAACCACATCATTTAGTTTAACAAATTTGGTTTAAAAATTTGGTCTCCCTAGCATTACCCTTAGTTAAATAATCTTATCTGGTTTGGTTGTTTTGTGTTGTATTCTAATCTTTTGTGTACATTTTATATTTTTCCTTTTATTTATTTAATTTCTTTCTATAGTGTAGGTTGCTTTCGAGAGGTTTTAGAGACAATATTCAAGCTGTCTTGGGGTTTTGGAGTTTAATTTTAGAATGAGGTCTTTTGAGAACTCAACATTTTAGGAGTCACTTTTGTGGATGCAAATTTTCGATGAATTGGGGGGGGCTTTGGCCGAAGAATTTCCGATGCCAAAGTTAGAATTTAGAGAGAAAAAGTGTTTGGAGAGTTTTTGGAGTTTTACAAGAGTGTGCACTTAGCTTTTTAGAGAAAATAAGGTCATATATATAGGGAATGCAGGTGGCCGGCCCTTATAGGTTTTTTTGTGTGAAAATGGGTGATTTAATTGGTGATTAATGGATTAATTAGGAATTAATCCCTTAATTATCCAATTAATCTCCATTCATATGGAATAATTTGTAGGTTATGAAGTAATTACCTAAGATGAGGATGAATGAGATAATTTGGAATTTGTTACCTATTTTGGACACTCTTGGCTTGATTAAAGAATGATTGTCCACTGCTCGTGTGTAAGACAACCGATATGTCTCAGGGGTAACTTTGTCCTTTTCACCAAAAATCTACGTGTCGCCTTGTGATTATTTTTGGCTACTCAAATGCCCCCACACTTGCGGGGCTGCTCGTAGGAAAGGGCAGCAGGTGGAGAGATCTTCTTGCTCTAGGAAACTTAGGATTGCTTCTTGTTTTGATGTAGATTTCCTCTTTAATATGAAATTAGATCCCTTTAGGAAAGGGAAATAAATTTCTCTGAAAGCCTATTTAAGTCCACCTTAAGTGGGTTATTAAATCAACTTTGAAGAGTGATTTATTCTACCCTACAAGAGAGAAAGAGCTTAGAGGATATTTGTTCCCCTTCATCTAACAATCTTCTACATCTTGCCCGTGCAAAGGACCGTCTTTTGTTGCTTTCTTCGTCTTCTTCGTGCCGCACCGATGTAAGGAAAACTTAATTCTCCTTATCTTCTTCTTGGGAGGTGCTACCACGGGGCAGCCGTCGGGGTTGTACGGCACGTCGGCTAGCAGGGGCCAGGAGTTGGCTTGTCATGGGCTAAGGATGTGGTGTGGCAGAGACCATTACTTGTGCTGCTCGGCTTGATTGAAGCCAAGGATTGGCTCGGCATGGGCCGAGGAAGTGGCATGGTATGGGCAATGGTTTGGGCTACTTTGCCAAAAATGAGAAAACTGCTTGAGTTTGATTTCTCAACTATCGTAGATAGAGCAGTCAAGGATAAAGCTGCCAAGATCGGAGCTGCTGAAGATGAAGTTTCAGATGAGTGAACTGTTAAGTGCAAAAGTAGCTGCTGCCCCTTAACCATTTGCTGCCTAGTTGATCTTCAAGCATTCGATCTTTTAAGCTATGTGGCATTCTCGCACTGAAGAGCTTACCCAGATAGGTGTTAGGGAATTAGTTTACCCTCTCGCACTAGAGAGTAATTAGTTTATCCTCTCGCGCTGGAGAGCAATTAGTTTACCCTCTCACATTGGAGAGCAATTAGTTTATCCTCATGCACTGGAGAGTAAACCCATATAGGTGTTGGGGAATTAGTTTACCCTCTCGCACTGGAGAGCAATTAGTTTATCCTCTCGCACTAGAAAGCAGACCTTTTTGGGTGTCGGGGAATTGGTTTACCCTCTTGCACTGGAAAGCAATTAGTTTATCCTCTCGTACTAGAGAGCAGACCCTTTTGGGTGTTGGGGAATTGGTTTACCCTCTCACACTAGAAAGCAATTAGTTTATCCTCTTGCACTAGAGAGCAGACCCATATGGGTGTCGGGGAATTGGTTTACCTTCTCGTACTAGAGAGCAATTAGTTTATCCTCTCGCGCTAGAGAGCATGGAAATCATTGTCGTGAGTGCAATTGAAGAAAGCTGGATTACTGGGACAATCGAAATAATCCTTAGCCTGCCCCCAGTTCTTGGTAGTTAGGCTGGTGTGTCCTTCTAGTACTCGTCTGCCCCCAGCATGCCATTAGGCTGAGCTGCTACATTTGTCGGAACAGAAGTAGTCTTTATATCCAGCAATCTATATGGGGTAGTCCTGTCTGCTCGAACTTTTCATTGAAAACTGACTCGCTCATGCTGCTCATGTCTTATCGGAGCGCTTGTCAATAGTTTCATTGCGCAGAAAATTATGCATTCGCTCGGTCAATAGCCTTTATACTTCTTCGTGAATTTTCCTTTGTTGGGAGTGGCAGAGCTCTCAGCTGCCCTAGTCTTGACCTACTGGTCTAGGCTGCTGTTCTACGTGCTCGGCTCGTCTATACCGCGGCAGCGAGGTATGTGGTGGATTCCTAGTAGGCAAGGGATTTCGCAGGCTACTGGTTGAACTTGAGCCAGATTGAGTGACTGCTTCTCTCCGCTCGTCATGCTGCCTACTCCGATGTGATATGGATGATGTTCTTTGCGGGCTTAGTCGTGAATGAACACTTCGCTTGAAAGGCTGCTCGTGTTGATTATCGAAGTGTGGCCCCAACCGTGAGTGTATGCTCGTCCATGAGCCTAGTTGAGATTGCATGCTCATTGATAGGAGCATATTCATGCGACTTAAATGGCTTGTTCTCGTGCATTTACGTTATGTTTCTTTAGTTATTTTAGTCCTTTATGCTTCTTTTGTGTGTTTTCAGGTTCTAAGGGCAAAGTATGCAAAATGGTGCATTTTGGAGTAGTTTGGGGCGTTAAATGGATTGGATATACTTGAAGCCAAGTAGATGGACGAAATTGAAGACCAAAGGAGGCCCTTTGTACCAGAAATTCACACCAACACATCCCATTTCAGATTGCATTCCAATCATTCCAGCCAAGCCACATGCACTCCCTTTAATTTATTCAACCTAGCTGTCAAAGCACATGCACATTCACCCTAATCATTCACATACACAATCTGCCATCATTCACACATTCATTCCACATGCATTCCCTTCACAAATCAGCCACATGCACTTTGCCTTTCATCATTGCACCATAAATCAGCCACATGCACCCATAATCATTCATCCAACTTTGCACATGCATTCATCATCATAACCTAGCTGTCATTACCCTTTAATCACATGCATAAATCAGCCACATGCATCTCCCATCACCATTTCAGATTTCCACCAAGTTCCTAGCTGTCATATTCCCTCCTTTTCACCTATAAATAAGCATCCATTGCAGCCACAATTCATTCATTCCCATTCATACACAATTCATTCACCATTCACGCCAGAAATTCATCCCCTCTCTATAACACATCCATACTTCACCATTCTTCATATTTTCTGCCCAAAAATAAGCCTTGAGGTCCCCTACATCCATCCCTATCCTAAACACATCATTCTACACCATCCATAACTCCCCATCCCTCCAAACCTATCCTTAGACCTTGTGCTACAACGAAGAGGAAGATAAGAGGGCCTAAACGTTCATACAATTCAAGTTTGAGTTGTTGGAATGTTTAGGTGTTTCTTTGATTTCAATGTTTAATTTCAATACTCTTTGTTTTGTACGAATGAGGAATGGAAGAGAAGAGGGCCTAAATGTTCGTACAATTCAAGTTTGAGTTGTTGGAATGTTTAGGTGTTTCTTTGATTCTCTTTGTTTTGTATCATGAGGAACTAAACCCCCCCTTGGCTAGGGGGGGATTCGAAATATATGTTTTTGCTTGCATTTTGATTTGATTACTTCTAATTGCGTTTCATAAGTTGTGGATTCAATTTGTTTAACTATTTGATTGATAACTTATTTATGTATGTTTATTGAGAGTGCACACTTAATTTTCATGCATGAATATGACGCTAGAATATAAGTGAGTTTCACGTAATAGTTATGAACTTATATTCACAAGTAGTGGAGGTTGCTTATAAACAATCGCGTTAAACAAATTCTTGGCATAAGTTTCATGCAATCATAGTAACGAATGCCTCGTCAACACTTATAGTTTTCATGATGCTTAATGATTCTTGCTTGTATCTCTATTATGCAATTCATGTAGGGAACTTGTGAGGAATGCTTTGGGTTGTCGTATGCAATCAATTCATTAACTTAAGGAAAACTTGACGGTTAATTTAAGCGGACCTAATTAACCCGGGGCGTTGAGAATTCATGGTTTATTGAAATGCAATTGGAAATCTTTTTATTATGCAAGTGTAACATGTGTGGAGATGAACCCCTTAGCTAATCCATCCATCATCTTGTTTTCAAGGAATTCGTTTTACAATCTGCCTAGTTTGTTACTTTGTTTTGTTATTTCAATTTTCGTCAAAACAAAACCCCCCCTTTACTTTCTTGTTCTATAGTGTTTAGAATCTGTTTAATTTGTGTTTTAAAGTGTTTTGAATCAACCTATAATCTTAAATTCGTCCAAATTTGTGTTTAAGGTCAGTAACTGCCTAGTTAGTGTTTTTAGGCAGTTTTGAGTCTTTTGAACTTGTTTTGAGTCCTTTGAGTCTTTGTATTGTCCAAATTAGTTAGAAAGTGTCTTAGTTTGTGTTTATAAGTGTTTTGATTCAATTTGTTACACAAATTCGTCCAAATTCACCAAAGTGCTCAAAACTGCCCAGAAAGTGATTTTAAGGCAGTTTTGAGTGTTTTGGGTGATGTTTGAGTCTTTTGGTTTGTTTTAGTGTTTTAAGCGTTTACTTTCGCATTCTTTGAGTTTAGTTTAGTGTTTTAAACTTTATTTTACGTTTTTGAGTCAGTTTCCAAGTGATTTGCAATCCCTCCTAATCCCCGGTTAAGAACGATCCCTACTTATATCTATACTACAATTGTCAAAAAGAGGGTTTAATTTGTGTGCGTATAAATCTCGCATCACTCATCCATGCGTTAAGATGGAAGTATACGCTATCTCAAGGAGAAGTGTACTCTGCCCAAACGCTCGGTTCGTGACAGGTTGAGTGGCTGTTTATCGAGATGCTGCTAGAGAGGTTTTTCGTCTACCGTTGTCCTTCTTCGGGACACCTCGTTTGGAACACGTTGCATGTTCGTGTGCTGCAAGAGCTGGTTCACCAAGGTCATCTGTTGTGTTAGGGCGCTTATTAACTCTATGACTTGTCGGGACAAGTGTTGTTCGCCATTTGGATTGGAAGAGCTTAGAAAGAATGTTTCTCCTTGAGCAGTGGAAGTATAGTAGACTCCAGGCGCGAGATTTGAGCTGGGAAATGTCAAATTCGCAGAAAAACATGGTGAAAATGCTCCCGATTTGATCATCGGTCTAGAAATTTGGAGTCGGGACGGTTGAACTAGTGTTGGACCGATTTGGGTTGCTTGGAAGGCCATGGGAGCAGACTAGACTGCAGGAGCAGGCTGGGCCACGGGAGCAGGCTGCTTGGTGAGAGTAGGTTGGACCACGGGGGCAGGCTGGGCCACGAGAGAAAATTGCTCATGGCGAGCAGGCTGTTTGGTGGAAGCAGGTTGGACCACGGGAGCAGGCTGGGCCACGAGAGCAGATTGCTCAGTGGAAGCAAGCTGGGCCACAAGAGCAAGCTGCTCTGTGGGAGCAGGTTGGGCCACGGGAGTGGGCTGCTCGGCGTGTGGCACACGTGGGTGCGAGGCTAGGGCCTGGAGTGACATGGCTTAGGTCATGGCCTTGGTGCCATGAGCCTTGGATGGCACGGCTTGGGCTTGCTTTGGTGGCAAGGCTCGGGTTGTGGTAGTAGTGCCATGGATCTCGCTGCGGGTGGCCATCGCGGTGGTTCCCATAGTGGAACCTTGTGGTGGTGGTGCTGCTCCCCCTAGGATCACATTTAGTCTCGTGGATCGCCGCGATCCCATTTCTTTTATATTGGAATTTTCACTCATGGAGTTTTTTAAATTTCTAGCCATTGTATTTCTCTTTTTCATTTTATCAAAGAATCTTTGCAAATAAAAAATTCTAATAATAAGAACATACGAAAAATACAAGTGGAATAGAAAATAGAGAAAAAAACCTTTTTTATGCGAGAGTCTTCTACGGGTGTGAATTTCAACTCTCAATGAAAGCACCAATTTGTGGATGCAAATTTCCATCTTCTTGATCTTGGACAAAATTGCACCTACAAAACAATTAATACCTTAGGTTAAAGCAAAGAGCCTCACGCGCCCACGATGAATGGCGCCAGGGGGGGGCTTTGGCTGAAGAACCTCCGATGCCAAAGTTAGAATTTAGAGAGAAAAAGTGTATAGAGAGTTTTTGGAGTTTTACAAGAGTGTGGACTTAGCTTTTTAGAGAAAATAGGGTCATATATTTAGGGAATGGAGGTGGCCAGCCCTAAGAGGTGTTTTGTGTGAAATGGGTGATTTAATTGGTGATTAATGG